CCCCGATTCAGGGAACATCGACGTTTCGTCGAATGAATTTCCCGTTCTAGCGCGAGGGATGTAAACTCTGTGCAAAGCTTCGATAAAAAGCTCGACGAGACTCGGGCCTTAGTCCTCTTTCCGCTCGGGACGTTCTATTTTGCAGCGGAGTACTCTGCACCGAGATATACCTAGGCCAGGACTTGAGAAATCAATGCTCCCCGCGAATAGGATTAGATAAATCAAAACGTTCGGTGCTGACTCAGCTGGCATTAATGGTTTCTTTCGAGTTAACGATGCGATACGAGTTTGAGAGTGTGTGCGTTAACCGTGTTGTGTATCCGTGCTCGCCACTGTGGAGAGGCTAGCAACCATATGCAAGCATTTCGACTATATATTTCTTAATCACGATCTGCGCTTTTAGTATCCTCGTTAACCGACGTTCTATCACCCATCGCATCCCCCTTTCAACAAAACATTTTTTAACTTTTAATCACGGCTGTACAGCAACAGACAAAATTAACAGTTTCGTTCCGTGCATCGGTTTGTGGAATAGTACGAAATAATTTTGAACGAACGTCGAGGTGTTCTATTTTCAAATCTTTGCGACTGTAGCTAAGGGTTGACTTTGCGAACGATTTCTGAAAAAATTTAAATTCGTTTTTCAGCCGATCGATTTCAAATTTAATGCAAATGTGTGTTTAGTTTGAATAAATTTGTTTGCAAATTTTCTGCTCGGCGGTCGAGAGTTTTGCTATGTATGCGTTACGCTTCGTGCGTCACACGTTTTCAATTGAGCCGCCGATAACCGATCGATTAATTTCGCTGTCGCGAGCGCGGATTTCTTAACGAAATCGACCGCGTACGCTGCACCACCTCCACATTACGTGCCTCGTAACAGGTGGTACGTCTGCACAGACACGGTTAAGAAAAAGTGCAGCACGGATAGTATCGTTTGTTGCTAAAAGCCTGGAACGAGCTCTTTAATATCGTAAGTGCGCGCCTCGTGCTTGAGAAATTAATACTTCAAAAGGAGCCGGTCCATTGCGCCGTGAACAATTTAATACCATCATTGTCGCCTCCGAGACGGAGCATCTGTTACAAATTACTCGGCATCGCAACAATGCGATCGTTGGTGCTAGAGGCGTGCACGACTGGAGCGAAGATAGAGTTAACGAATCATTTTCGAACTATTTCTCGAGCCAGATATCATCCGTCTTGCAAGATGGAAATACTTGGGGATGCAAACATTTAAATTTGGAACAGTTTCTGTGCAACCCTCTAAACATTCAAACAGACTGCACAGTATTTGTAACGTATTGGTAATATAGTAATTAAAATTAATCACTATATTTAAATTTTAATTAATTTAAATTTAATGTTACGGTTCTGGTTATGAGTACTCTTCAAAATATTCCGCGTTTTACCCTTAATTGCTAGGAACAATGCATTTTATACATCACCGTAAAATTTTATTCTGACATTTGAAAGGGAACTTCATTATGTCCGAGTAAATTACTTTTATATTCAACAAAGAACCAGTTTTTAATAATTATACGTTTTATCGGTGTATGGTCGAGCAATTTTGTACCTCACGTGTATGCAAATATTTTTAACACACTTCAGAAGAATTTATCTATCAAACGGGCTAGTGTATAACACTGGATTTTTTCTTTTGTAATATTGTGTTCAGACCACTTATGAGAAACAATTTTTTGGTATTAATTGTAACGTTTCCTCTTTGGTGCTGTTAATAAGCTTCTCTACGAAACTTTGATGAATTTTCTTCCGACATAATTAAACGTTCTCCACTCTTTGAAAAAGTTGTCTGAGATCCGAACTAATGGCCTCATTGAATTAAGTTCAAATGGAAAACTAAATGGACTTATATTCTGAACTTTCCTTAAAAAGAAAGTTATAATCCCTATGTCAGAATAAACAATGCTATTGAAAATGAATGAATGAAGGTATAAAGAAGCCTTGATGAGAAGTTCAATCATCAAAATTTAATGTAATGAAAGTTTACTTCCGATCATTGCCTTTGGGAACGATGTGGTCAACGGGACAGGGACGTTTTTCGTGTTGCCAGAACGTGCGTCCACGTAACGTTCTCATTTTTTAGGCGAACATTCGCGATTTACGTTCCGTCGATCAACGCAGCGATCGGGATTTCAGACACGCGATAAAAATGCGCCTCGCACGAAAGAAGCTTCGCAACGCGCCACGGTCGAGCACGATTTCGAGAAAATGAACGCAACGGCGACGGATGATGAATCACGAAAACGGTTGAAAGACGGCTGCACGCAGTACAACAAGAGGCAGGAGAGGTGAAAGTGACGATGAAGAAGAAAGAGTGGCGTTCCTAATTGGAGAATGAGCGGATTTTTCAACTCCCTCAAAAACTTCGCGTCAGGAGCCGCGTACGCTGCCAGCTCTGCCTCCAAGTACGAAGAACTGGAAGGTGAACATTTCTTTTACACCCGCATTGCACGTGGAACGTAGCCTGCATGCGGTACGGAACGTCCTTCAATTTTCTTTCGATTTGCACGATATCATCTATCTGTGAACATTGTTTTTCACTTTACGAATAAAAACAGTTTTGTGTTTTCTTCGAGCTGAATATCTTAGATATCGGCGATCATTAAATTTTTATGTACGTTTCGATGTGATGTTTGTTCATCTCCATGGAGCAACGAAGTTATTAATTTTTTCCCCCCTCATGCATGATTCGTGTCGATTGCACGAAATAATTGATCGTCGAGATTGTTTATTATTTTAATAAAAGATAAAGTTTGTGTGTTTTATTCTGTCAGATGCGTTTTCTGCAGTGGAAAAACAGTCGTAGCCTGAATAATCAAAAAGTCGAAGTGTATTGTCTTCGCGAGCGGTTCTACTTCAATCGAGTAAGAAAGTATTACAAGGAAGTTTGCTATAGAAGTTTGTATCTCACGACCTTATTCGTATCCATAAATAAATAACGAACAATAACAGTGGTCTATACCGAGACCTGTACAATCGAAACTTAATGAAGGGGATGTGTGCCGGAAAAATCTATAAAATCGATCTCTCAGAAAATGAATTTTATTCCAAGTTTGCGACTTATTTTTGGTCGAAGTCTTGTTTGCGTTCATAAATTACTGGAGGCCTTGAGTTAAGAGTAGATTCATTCAGAAGCCCTTAACGCTGATGACTCTTAACGATAAGAAAGATGCAAGTACACTGCCATTTGTAGTTGAGGGCACTAATTTAAAAATGTAAGCTGTTGGTCAACAGAAACTCTGAATTATTATTTCATAATGGAGACCAAAGTAACTTATACTATTTTTTATTTTTTTTAAACGAGTTTGTTCATGGCTTAAGGCACACATATGGTATGTCTACTTTTAGTTACATTTACGTTTTTATGTGTAAATATGTTATAATGAATATATTTGTTTGCTGTATGTCTCTAATTCACTATTCTGTCTGCACAAACATTGTATGCCCATGTCAAAAGACATAAAAGAGGCTTTATAATCTACATGAATGTCGTGTGTTGTTCAACGTGTGGATACTTCTTTTAACGCTTCTTTTAATGAACATTATTATACACGAACCCATATATTTTCAAACTTGAATTTCTGGAACTGTAATAATTTTGAATCGAGATTTAAAACAAAAAGAATTTACATGCATTCGTCAGTGCATCGATACTTTCTTTCGAATCGAATAAAGCTCCATTAAACGGAGCTCTTTCGAACGGAATCGCGATACTAGAAAGAAGATTAAGTTGCCAGTGCTGGTAACCGAAGATAGGGAATTCGCGAAGCGCATCCTCCGACAACAAAAGGATAATGGATACCAATTTACGTTGTATTTATAATGCACTTCGATAGAAGGGGGTTGTGAGTTTACGTTATTCCGGTAGAGTTGTAAAATTTATGACGGGACAAGGGTGCGCTTCAGCTCGCTAATGCGAAATAGTACCGTGGATAATGAACTCGCAGTATACGGCCAAATTACAGCTGAATGCCGACCGTTTGAAAAGAAATTGCATGATAATTGTGCACCGGTCTAACTGCAACTGGCTGTGCTCTGCCGAGAAACGGGCATTACCATTTTAATCAGTTAATATTTTCTTCTTTTCAAATTAGTAATCACCCAGATCTCGAGACAAAAGTAGAACGAGGAAATTTAAAATATAATTTGGGACCCGTTCATTTGTTATACGCTTCGTCGTTGTATATTCTTGGTGTTTGATGAATTACTCAGAAACTGGCACGAAAAAAAGTCTGATTACATTTTTAAAATAAAACTAACTAATAGCGTATGCCTGGCCAAACAATATATCCCAGAACCATTTGTTAAACAGCTCATCCGATGACTCACGATGCATACTAATGTTTTTGTACCGAGAGCGACAAACCTGTATCGAAGATAAACGTATTAACAAGCTTTATGTTCGGTGAACATTGTGGCATTTGGTTTCGTTTAAACTCGTGCACCTTTGTCACGCGCCCCGGTGCGTCATTAAGTAAAACAGTTGACTTTAAAACTTCGACGTTTCGATCGAATTTATACGCAGTAACGTTCCTAACGTTTCCGTTTGTTTAACGCAACCTGAAACGACTGCAGGCGTTTAACGAGTGTCGCTTCTGCTATTTACGATCTCTTCTCAGTTTTACTCTCTGACATTTCGTGAAATGAAGTTTTCAGCAAACACAATTAAATACCCCTGTTGCGTTCACTGTCCACGAACAATTTTCTTCCTGGCTCTTAACAGTTTTCAACCTGCATGTTGTCCGTCATGTTTCGTTTGCAGTCACGAGACAGACGTGCCTCCTCGAAGCTTTGAGAGCTTTGAATAAACTAGTTCGCTAAGGAGAAGAGCTCGTGTAACTTGCCTCGAATATTTACTAGTCGATTGAAACTTGCGTTCGGATAAGAATTTTGCCCGTAGCTGATCTTGTCGAATAATTTAATTATATTTTGTACGTTGGGACATTAACTTGAGACGGCTTTTGAATTTGTGAAATTTCCAGCCGAGGACACGAAAATGAGATTTAGCCTGACGCCGCAGCCAGGAGAAAGCGGTTTCGTACAATGGCTGGACGCGATGAAAATGGTTGCCAGGTTGCAGGGAGGGATACCGCCGAAATTTCGAAAAGAGGTGGGTTGCCCGTTTTAAATGTTAAGCGACCATCCTCATTTGGAAATATTTCGCAGTTATGGCTGACGCTGGCAGAACGTCATCTGGAGCAGCGCGGCGTGGATTGGAAGCAGGCTGAAAAGGTCTGCTTTAACGAGTGGAGCAATCCTGACGATGAAGAGCTCGGTATACAAATCGTTAAAGTAAGACTGTAAAACGTAAATCCCTTTCACAATAGTTTTTCGCGAGCATCAGGGACCTCACAAATTTTGCATACGTTCCACTCCAATTTTTACTTCGCCCCTATGACCGAATTAAATACTTGCAAAACTTTAAAAGATCGTCAAAATTCAAATAACATATTTCAGAAATTTAATAAAAAGGAATATTTAAAATGGTACCAAGGATAATACATCAAAAATTTTCTCTCTCGCTTCCCTCGGACTGTAAAGCCAACCCTGCCACCCAAGAGTCGCGCCCCTAATTTATTTACACCTGTACAATGAGACCGTGTCCGTACGATCCGGACAAATTTTAATTCCAAATTATTCGAATGATTCCCTAGTCTCGAAAGACTCGTTACGAATGTTCCGTGCAATTAGAGAGAAAAAAAGTCTCCGACGTGCTTTTGTGTGCCTAATGAACTCGATTAAAAGTTAATACCTCGTCTTGTGTAATAACTCGGGTGCAAAAATGATCCAGGTGACGCAATTGTGTCCCACGATCCGCGGCGATATCGCTAGTTGAACGGTCTTCGTTCGGTGTATAATTACGGGCAATTAAATTTGGATCATTAATCACTTCGACGCCAGGCAATTAAGTGTCGCCGATGAGCCTTCCAATTAGATCGAGCCTCGGCTCGCGCGCGCGCGCGTACACTCGACGAAGAAGTGACCTTTAACGAACGCGTGGAGTCGGTTGAACCCGTCGTCGTGCCTAACCGTTTACCACGTTCGTAGATCGTAATTCAAGCGAGCTAACCGAGGCAAAATCCGATATCGTTGCTGGCCCTTTCAGGATTTACACAGGACAGGCTGCAGTCTATTTTGCGGCGCAGCTGGCAGAGACAATCAGGCGGTGCTTCGTCGGGTTCTGCTTGGCTTCGCCCGATGGAACAAGTCCGTCGGCTATTGCCAAGGCCTGAACGTGCTGGCCGCTCTCGTTCTGCAAGTTATGGATCGCGCGGAGGCCGCCGCGGTGAAGGTGATGATCTACTTGATAGAAGGTGTCCTGCCCGAGGGATATTTCGCGGACAATCTGCGCGGCCTCTCCGTAGACATGGCGGTGTTTCGCGATCTTCTACGCGCCAGACTACCCAAGCTCTCGAAACATCTCAAAGTGCTACAGAACGACGCGAAGGACAAGGCCACAGGTCACTATTTCACGATCCCTACCAAATTATGCTACTTTGTCCACTCGAGAACGGTTGCATTAGAATTTTTCTGCCACGATAAAATGAGCGTGCATGTGTCTATATGGAGACACGAAGATTGATCGTTTTCACAGAGACGTCCAATTGATTGCCCTGATTCCGTCCTTCGTAGGTATCCGAAGCAAATTATTAAGCACACAATTTGTTCGATAACTGATAAATCCTCCTTTCTCCCTTTAATTCTGATATTAATTTGCTACTTAAATACAGAATTTTAGAAGGGTATAGTTCCCTTGCGCCGTGAGTAAAATTCTCAAGTGGACAAATAACTCCTACGCTAAGCTCGGTAACGTTATAGATTTTTCGGACGAACGCATACATCACGTCGTTGCGTATTTAAGACCTAGTTAGGTATAGAGGAGTTAACGAAAAAATTGACTTGGGAGAGTTCCAGCCAGTTGGCCTCTGGAGAGAAATACTGCCTCTCTGACTACCTTGGCTGATAGCTTGGAATCTTGGACAGCGGTTATGAAAATACCGACAGAATAAAATATGTACGTTGTGTGTATCTCTATTTTCGTGGACTCCATTTTCACGAAACAAATTCAACAATCAAACAATAAGGAAAATAAAATCAATGTTAACGATATTTGACAACCATGAAATTATAAATACTTTGAATACCCAACTGTAAGACCCTGGACCTCTAAAAGTAAAGTACCATCTCCAGCCAAGTCGATTCTTCCGTTCACACCGCCATAGCTAGTTACGCGTGGCGCCAAATTTAAACGAGCCATTGTGTTCTCCGCGCTTGTTATACTCCACTATTTAAAAAGGAAGAAAAGACGTAGATTCTGTTAACAATAATATAACAAAAGACTGTTAAACCGCGGTACTATACTCCAAAGTCTTTAGCGTCATAGCAACAATGACACACAAGAAACAACGACGTGCATAGTTTCCGACATCATTCAGCCCGGGAGAATAGCTTTGAGCGACCAGTTAATTTGGCGCCGTGAATAGTAACACTGCAGTATGCCTTCCATACATTCTAGAACAATACTGCCGAGTATAAGCGTCGAAGCTACCGAATCCCATGACTCGACCTAATAATTTTCAGTTCCAACGAATTGAATCAACTTTTGACCCTGTTTAGGCAGCAGTTACGAGCCACCTTTGACGAATGTGTTCACGATGCAATGGTTCCTTACTCTCTTCTGTCACTGTTTACCCCAAGAGGCGGTCCTCCGTGTCTGGGACCTGATATTTCTCGAGGGAGACGAGATCCTCCTGAGAACCGCTTTGACCATTTGGGACGGACTTTCGGAGTAAGTGGACGAGCTTAGAAACTCGTAGGTTGCTTCGATTTGTTTTGCAGTAACGTCGTATCTTGCTTCAGCCGTATCATGACCGTGACATCAGCCGACGAGTTTTATAGCATAATGGGAGTCCTGACGAGAGAGATGGTGGAATTTACGGACACGAACAATCTCATACAGGTTTGTCGGAGTCTGACATAAAGATAAATACCAGTTGATGCGCTTAGCGAATTTGTGCTAAAAAAAAAAAACATTTATGTACGCGTTATTGCTATAGAATATAGTCAGTATGGAACCTTTGCATGGCGTGAAGAATTTGAGAGAAAAGCACAGATACAATATCACACCGTGGGCAAGGAAACTCAGCGACGACGACGATAGCGACACGGAGGAACAGGAAAGGCTGGCCGTGGCTGCCGCGATGATCAACATGGCGCAACGGCTAAAGAAAGGTAGATATCCGAAAATTTATTATCGATGTATCATTGACGTTGTTCGCGATATTACATGTATTCATTCGCGTCACAAAAGACATGCTTGTAGATCGTATACCGCAAACGATTGGCGTGCTACAAGCCATGGCGCCCAGCAGCGATCGAGAACGTCTCGCTTTGGACATTAGTATATTGAAACAACAGTACGCCAAACTACGAGAACGTCAACACCAGACGCACATTATACTTTCCGGTAAATGCTGATTGTAATAATACGGTAGAACGTACTCGCTAAGCTTGAAAGTACAGCGTATCGTGTTTCTCGAATGGCTTAAAAGCATTTACTCCAGGAGTAATGGCAACGACGCTAAAGCTTCGCCAAATAGTAAATCTTTGTATTCCTTAGGAGTCGAGGGGTTAGAATAAGAATTGTGAAAATATATTTGCTTGCTTGGAATAGAATGAGTGCAAAAATGCATAAATTCTTTCTTGACGCAGCCGCATGTGCAAGGCAGACCATGGTACCACCTCCTACTTCTCAGGCCATGAATCATCTTTTAGTGGGCAAAAATGCACTCGTGAGCGGGAAGAATCGATCCCTGAGTCTACCTCCTGGAACTGCATTGGCCAAGACACGACCTACACCTCTAAGCCAGAGTCGAAAGGACAGACAAGGCGTCACGCTCCATTGGAAGGACACGAAGAAATCGAAGCAAAAATCTGCAATTTCACCAGGTATACTACGATTTCCAATCAGCCTATTACAGATTTCAAATTTATATTTATTTCAAATTTACTCGAAGAGCATATTCAAATTTTTGCATTATAGATTTATATGTTGAAACACAAATGTAGTTTAACATAAGGAAGTATTCATTTATTACCTGGATTAAACCTCATCACTTCTACAATCACTTAAAGATATATTCTGCAAAATGCATCATAAATATTGCCTTGTTTAGGTTAATAAAATATGCACTGACAGTTGGTAAAGAAGATCTATCGATCGATGATGAAAATTATTCAATTTTATCTACTGTTGGCACACATCATTATCATCTGCTAGTATGACAGACACTGCAACTGTTTTACCATGGGAGCAGAACTCCAGAACATGGTTCTCAACTTGATCCTAAATATGTATTACCACAGCCGGGGTACAAGATAGATCTTGTGGAAGTTGGTGTACCACGAACAGAAATACCGACCTGGTAAAAAACCAGTGAAGAACGGAGATCTTGGGAGCAATAACCACAACATTTATTTATGAACTAGAGCTCATGAATACTTAAGAAAAAGTACTAAACAATATTTCCGTACAGCATCAAAGAAATTTATTAAAAATCAAAACCAATTTTTAAAAAAAATCGACTGGGGGTGCAGAAATTTTTCAGCGAATAAAAAAATTTCAAATCGTTCTAAAAAAATTATTTTTAGCTAGAGGGGTTAATTACAATCATTTTTTGTCAATACATATACTCCCAAAATCTTACGTACTTTCGAGAAAAAAATTCCTTACCGAAAATATAATTTCTGACCAGAAATGTTAGTCCAAAATTTTATGCGAATCTTTAAAACGTCATAACTCCTGAACGGACTGGAATATGTTTTCATTGATTAGCTCTCCAATTTGTTGTAGATGTACCGGAAACCACCGTAGTACCGTTACAACCCACGGAAGCTGACCTCGCGTCACCAAAGCGCAGCAATGGCGATAGCGACAGCGACAGCACGTCGACGGAATTGTGCGACGAACCCGATCGTCTCAGTGACGTTGACAGCGAAGACCTAACGTCAGCGTCCGAGTCCTACGCCATGGCTACGGACGAGGAGAAGAATTCTCGAGTCGGAAGTTCTCCGTTACCAGAGACCACGCTCGATCGCGTGTTGCCCGATGACAAAAGCGAGCCGATCAATATCGAAATTTCGCAGGACTTGAAGCCACCGGAGGAAAACTTGAGCGACATATCGATCGCCAAAATCACCGATCAGATACGACGGCTATCGGCAGAGGATGACAATAATTCGATGGTTCCTCAAACATTCAGTACACTGAGCAAAGAGAACGACTCGTTGGCAATAACGTCTCCGTTGGAAAAAGATAAATCTGTACCAGATTTGACCGTAGATTACGCGTCGACCGTGGATAGTGTAAAGAAGTCTTTGGTTTTAGACGAGTTCGATTACCTGAATTTTAGTAGCAACAAGATTACCGTGAAGGAAGAGGAAGTGTTGGTGCACGAAACACACAAACCAAAAACTACTATCAAAGAAATCGAGGGTACGTCCCTCGAGGATGTAGCGACGAATCTGAAAGACAAAGTCGAGGATACAAGTTCCGCGATTGTTCGATTGGAGAGCTCGCCCGTATTTCCAGATTACTCGAGAATATTGGACACGAAATTCGATAAAATCGCAGATAGGGCTACCTACGATTTGGGAACGGAGAACGAGGACCGTTACAAGACGTCTTATGATTTTTCTAGCAGAAGTTCCTTGGACACGAAGACATACGACAGTTCGAAAATAGATAGCCTGCTTAGCGATGTTTCGCCTACGACGAACACCGACCTAAAATCTTACTGCAAAACGTACGTCGGTCATCTTCCAATTTCGCCAATAACGGTTGATCAGAAGTTGAGTCAAGTGACACCGACTATACACAGAACTAAGAGTATCGTGGGATTGAGCGACGCTGGTAAGAATACCGAAATATCGTTGGAGAAAACGTATTTCAGCGACAGAGAGCAAACGAAGATATATTCAGATTTGAAGAAGAGTCCGAAGACACCTGATAGTAATAAATCTGGCAGCTCCGGCGAGACTATGGGGCCTGATTCTAAGCCTTCCAGTTTAACAGTGAGTCCAAGATCCCCGGTCAGATCCGACTCGCGAGACATCTTGATGGACAAATCGGTGTGTTCGTCGGTCAGTTCCGACTCGAAGACTCTGGTCTTCTGTTCCATAGACTCTGACATTACAAAAGACAGCCTCAAGACGGACACGAAGAAGACGTACGAGAAGTCTGGTTCGTCGACTCCTATTAGCACGGATTCGCTGAGGATCAAATCGGAGACGAGCCCGAAATTGGTGGTCAGTAGCTCCAGCGACTCGTGCAGCCCGAGTAAACTAAAGTCTTCCGAGAGGTCGTTCAGTTCGGACCTTCAATCGCCAATAAGTGCCAACTCCATAAAATATACCTCGAATTACAATAGACGGGGCCAGGACGACGTGTCTGGCTCGTCGATCGACATGAGCACCGCTACGTCGCCATTTTACCCGATCTCGAATCCCAATCAAAAGACTCCGTCTCCGTACAGCGTGTCCCGTCAAAGGTCCAGCTTGGACAGCACGGAGACGTCGCCGGAACAAAAGTCGTCCAGCTCGAAGGAGTCGAACAAGTATTTGGGCTACCAGTCGAAGTACGAATCCTCGTTGAAGTCGTCCGACGCCAAAGACGCGAGTAGCGTCACTCTGAAGAGCGACAGCTACGTTAATCGAGATTTTAACGCGAAGAAAGAAGACTCGAGCTCGATCCTGACTGAAAGGAAAAATGGTGACGACTTCTACCAGTCGGCTGGCAACGATTATTATCGCAAGGACAAAGATATTCTCGATGACGGCGCGGACGATCCTCTGTCGGAGAAGGACGTGGTACCCTCGTTGCCACAGGAAAAATTGGACAAGCATTACTTGACTTACAATTACCGGCACAGAGACCGATCGAAAGTGTTGGAGAGAAGCTCCAGCAGCTTGGAGAGTAGAAGATTCGACCTAAAATCGTCTGTATCTACGGACGAGTTCGGCACTTCCGTCGCTAAGAAAAGATCCAGCGACATTCTGGAGGATATAAAGCACTTGGAGGCCAAGGCGAACGATGGATCCTCGGATTCCGGGATGCTGACGAAGAAGAGCAGCTACATCTGGGAGGATCTGAAGAACCTGGAGGCCAGGAGGCAGGACACTTTTAGCAATTCCGCGAGCAACTTTTCCAAGAGCCGTCTGGAGGTACCAGACATAAGCGTGACCGGAGAGGGCAGAAAGTCTTACGGTATTCATCCGAAAATTCATATCGACGAGAACAGCGACAGTATATTAAAAACCGTGGCTCGTAGCCAAAACAACAGCGACTCCGACGACGGTAGAGAATCGAAGTTGGGCGTGTGGACGAAGGTGAAGCCTCGAAAGAAGAGCCACAACGGTCGCAGAAATAGCGACAGAGCTTTGAAGATCATTCAGGAGAATTCCGCTATACTTCAGAAAATTCTCGCGTGTCAGGCGAAGAAACGTTTGCCGGATCTTGAGGAGATATCGAAAGAGATCACTATAAGTCCCATAAATGAGGAGATTTCGAAAATCTTTAGCCCGATATTGGAGAAGATGGGACTGAACGAGCACGAGATCAACGAGGAGCTGGCTAGGATCAATTTTAAAGACTTCGACAACATGACCGCCACCAGCGTGTCCGAGTTCGACGCGAAAATCAACGAGGAACTGTCAAAGCTCTCGCTGATCGACGAGACGGAACAAATAGACCACTTTGCCGTGGATGAAATCATATCGCACGAGTACTTGGACACCAGAGAGGCTCTGATAGATCGCAAGATAAACGAAGAGCTGTCGAAACTGTTATCAAATTACGAGGAACGTTCTCCAGTGAGTATCGCGACTCTGGACAAAGGATACAGTCAGAACGTCAGCGAAATCGATGGACTCGAGTTGTCCAGCATCTCTACGAACGTGTTCTCGTACCAGTCGTCGAACGATTCCATCGAGACTAGAAGCGACCTAGGCTCCACGCAGGAACCAACGATTCCAGTCGACAAGTTCTCCCAGTACACTGACAAAATGTTACCTTACACAGTGTCTAAATACAGAGAGGACGACTCGTCGCCCAAGAGCGACATCGACATCCACAGGGAACTGGAGAAACTGGATAAGATCTCTTCAGCGCAAGTGCTGCCAGACTCGGCCCTCGATCTTCCTCAAAAAGACCTGACCTCGATCCCTTACATCACTAACGCGTCACCGTTCAAGGACATATCACCGTTAAGATATTCTTCTAAACCAGTCCAGTACGACTCCTCGCCCATGAAAAGCTCCTACGATCCCTACAAATCCTTCGACTTCAAATCGAAACTGTCGCCAAAACACGCGTCGACCAACCCCTTCGTGGCAGCCTCCTACGACAAACCCATCATAGAGCCCGGTTTCGAGTACATCAACCATAAAACCGAGATCTCGATCAACGCTTACGATTTGCACTTGAAGAGCCCGATGATGACGAAAGAGTCGCTGGAGTTCCGCGTGAGATACGACGACGATCCTGCCAGAGAAGTCAGCACCGACTACATGTCTCTTCCGCCGGATAACAGACAGATAACGAGTTCGAAATCTCCTTATTACAGCAACGGTAACAGCGAGCCATTGACGCCCACCAAGTACATACCCAAGGAGAAGAGATATTTAGACACCACTGGGTCCGCTTTCTTGGAGTATTCCACCGAATCTTCAGACATTCTTCGTCGCAAATACAATCCACTGTCACCCGAAGAGTATTCCCATGGGACAGGCATAGATTACGATAGGCACTTGAGCGCGTTACCTTCGATAGATCCAGGCTCTGACATAGGATCGTATTTGCCGACGAAGCGTCTGGACTACCATCCTTTGTCGCCTAATCGTCAGTTCACCGATCAACATTTTCCATCTGCCGCGAACCACTACGCCTTGAAGCTGTCCCCGGGTCTGATCGACGAGACCAAACGACCAGTCTCGCATCCGGAGTTTCCTGGTAAGATAGCTGTCGGTAGCTACGCGGAACTACCCGACAGAGGAGGATCCAGTTATCAGACGTCCTCTCTGAGTCTGGGTAACATCGGACACTCGAGCAAAGGTATCGAGAATAACTACAACACGCTGATCAGCCCGAAATCGCAGTTCACTCCGTTTCCGATCAGAAACGCTCCTAGGAAGCCCAAAGAGCTCACGCTCAAGCTGGGTCTCTACTCGCCGAAAGATCCTGACGCGGGTCAATTGAAAAGGTCATAGTCTAAGACTGCGAGAATGTTCTGCTTCAGGTTCACCCTCTTTGTCCCATTCGAAGGGGCTCTATTAAATAAGCGGCTCATCGAGATGCAGGGAGTCGCTAGCAGCGATTCCGATATTAACGAAGCGGGCCTAAATCATCGTTTCCGATTAGGGTCGTGAGAGGTACGATGTTAGGAAAAGACGTCGAGTTGTTAACAAAATTTTGTTACCGAGCGTAAGCAAAACGTAAGGGAGATACGTTCGAAGGTAGAAACTGTGTGTTTGGCAGCATGTAACGAGACTTTGAAACGTCACGGCGCAAACATCGCTCAACAGGATTAACGTTGAACACGATTATCACGTACTGTATCGCATACTTCCCTCCCCCGCCCATTAGCTTTAATCATTAACTCCGTTTTTCCGAATGTTTATAGTCTATGAACGTTGACTAATTACGAACGTTTTTTACGAGCTCTGCTTGAAACGGCTTCGAAAACCTCCCTCGAGAGAGGAAGAGAGAAACTGCTTGCGGAAATAATAGCATTTAAAGATCCAGCGCGGAACGTACACGCATACATGCAATTTCTAATGCGATGCCTTCAATCTCCCTCCAATCTCGCGAGGAAAATCTCGTTATCACGTCTCGATTGTTCAGTAAATTGCGATAAGTAGCCTCGATGCGCGCACGAAGCCTAGAGAAAAAGAAAAACGAAGAAAAAAAAAAAAATAAAGCAAGTCGTTGCAAAATGCCTTCCATTCCGCGGTTCGCTTTACTACAGTGATCTCGCATGCGATCGTAAATCACGACACTTGATCGCGAGACCGCGGCAAACGTGAAATTTCCACCGAGGAGATACACCGTTCTATCGCGAGAGATTGTATGAAATTATCGAAGTTGTTACGTAAAGGATTCGCGATAGAGCTTAATTTGTCCGTACGTTTTGCGTGGAGCCTAGTCGCGCAGGTCTGTAACGTTCGAAGGGGGAAAATGTGCACCATTACGAGTCACGGACACGAAAGGGGAGTGACAGACAAACAAATTGTAAATAACTATAGACGTTAATTGTACATTAACAAACTAAAAAAAACTTCAGAGTCGCTCGAGATCTTTTTATATAAAATAAAAGTAGTATTTTTAGATGTTTCTAATAAGATGATAATCCTCGTGTTATCGCCGTCATTACACGTATATGAGCTTAGCCGAGCTATGCTTATCCGTAAGAACGTCGTTCTTCTCGCAGATCTCTCTTCATTCCTGTTCGGAGACGATCGAACGAGTCACACGATCGTGAAAACAAACTTGCAGCAATTACGATTAACTACGAATACTTGTACGTTTGAGTGCGCTAAAGACACGTGAACTTTAAGGAAACTGTATCGTATTGTTTACCGCGTTTTAGCATCACGTTTACGTAGAGATGGATTGTTTCAACGCACTGGAAATTTATTGATAATCTGCATCCTGAGTACACCGAATATTAAAACAACTTGGAACATTTCTTTGCCATTTGTCGACCAGACGGTACTAGACGAAGAGCTGGCTGTGCAATATTTAACATTTTATCGACAAAATTTAGTAATATTCAACTACTGGCAGACAAGGCTAAAGGTGCATACGACTCGTTAACATTAACGTAATTTTGACAAAGATAAAATTTTGTTTGCTATACGTATGCATTACTTGGTGGTTTATATATAAAATACCAGAGTAAAATTCCGTTGCTAAAGCTATGCCAGAAGTAGTTGGAATGTGTAATATGCTTAATATGAACCAAAGCGGCTGGCGGCGCTTAATTTTACCGTGAAAATTATTCGATGTACGCCATTTTAAGAAGGCTATATATTTTTTAGCCAACTTTAACTAGTGATCTACAAATAAAATAAGAGAACAAAACTATACAAGATTCACAATTATTCTTGCTCGAGGTAACAAATTCCCCCAATAAAATGACGTTAAAATTTACGTAGCCAGCTCTTAGTTTATATCACAAATTACGTCGCCTCTCTAAATATTGTGAAACTTATTTTCATTGGCTTGCATAGCAGAACAGGCGTTCGTAAACCATTACGTCCATTTTACCTAGCGGCAAGTAGAGTCGTCAATTCGTCGCTCGATGCATGCAGATTTTTATACGCCCCATTTAGGCTCGAGACAGTCCATTTGTTCTGTAGAGAAATACAAGAAAACTACGACAAAATTTCTGGAATAGCTGCGTTAATGTGCCTCTGATATCACACTCTGACAAGTTTCGATGAAATTACAACGACGTTTCAAGATTCTCTGAAACAAATGGCCGTTCGTGGCCGCTTCAACCACCGTGAGTTATGTAAAGAACAACTGTTACTTTTACTCCGTGTTAACGTGGCTCTGTTCTCAATGCCAAAATTTGGAATGATTTGTGGTACAGTGGTCGTGAACAGTTGTTGCTCGCTTGTCTCGACGTGGACGAGTACATTCGCAACCATACTTCTAGGAGAGATTTTTTGCGTATCTACACTGGCTTCTGTGCAACTTATCAATTCACCGCGAAGAAATATTGAAAAATGCAGTTTCCGCGAACATCGGACACCGTAGATCCCTGCACGCGAAGCTTTTGCAGCAACTTTGCATTCGTCTGAATGATGTACACTTCTCTCCCGCGTAAGAAATCGTCGTATAGTACATGAACGGGGCACAGTGATCAACGAAAATGTTCGTACAGTGCGTATGTTCCGATTTCTCGTTTCGAAACGTTGTTATTTAATGCGTTAAGCGGAATCGATATTGTGGCTTGTGTCAAAATTGATATAAAACTCTTGATAAGCATGACTCAAATGAAATGACACACGATTTACACATTTCAGAAATATTTGACAATCCATAATCCATAATCCATACTATCAAATTTAAAAAATAAAACGATGACATAAAATTTAATACTCTCGTAAAAATAAAGGTTTAAAATACTTTTGTAATCGGGTGTCGTTTCTAAATAAATTCTATATTTTCGTTCAAGGGACGTCACAAAATTTTATTCTACATTTGGAATCTCAGAAAGGAATTCTGACCCTCGATGCGCTTAAGCTACTTGTTCCGGAGATACTTCAAATGAAATAATAAATTATACACGAGGCAGCTTCTATACTGGCTAAGAACTGAGTTGAATGTAAGGAAACTTTACCAACAACTTTATCTGACCCTCTTTTCCATAACGCGAACAGATATATGTGCTCTCAATATCAGTTTATCGAACCTTTATATAAGAGAAATGCTGTTTCCGTATTCTAGTTCGATTTATATCTCTGAAGCTATAATTCGACTAGAACTAAGTATCTTAAGAATGCATAGCTTATGCTGTCTCAAACGAGCATCTTTATTTTACAGGTATATAATTTTTTTTGGTCTGTTTACGTAGAATATCTCCGTAAATTTTGTGGCGCTCCTTTAAAACCACTCTCTGCAATAAATGACTCGTTAGAAGAAACAATGGTCAGCCTGATTCACTCGCGAGCAATTAAATCGTAAAACGACTAGTTCGAACATACTTCACCGGGCGAATATTTCCATTGTTCGCATTGTCTGCGACTTCGAGCGAGATATTTTCGTGGAAACGGGACAAAAAGGCGAGGAATCGCCGTGGATTCGCCGTCACGTTCATCCGCTGACGCGCGGCCAAATTCAGTGAACCGGATCGTAGGTTCGGAAAGCCTGTGAGGAATAGAAAGTATTCGTAAAGGTGCTTTAACGAGGCATTGGCGCGTTCCACCGAACAAAGGTGAAACTATCTAGATGTAGGGTAGCTGATAAGGAATCGATGATAGCGTTGTTCGTTGTGTCTTGTAAAATGATCGTTTTCGAAAACCAACATGAACGAATCGTCGATCAAGTTCTCCGATTTCGGTTCACGGAACGTTCGTATATTCGGTTCGTTTCGGTTCCAGGAAGGGCTGGGGAAATTTTATTCGCGAATAACGAATGCACGGACCAACTTCCATTTACCTTTCATTCGTAAATTAAAGTCCTTTCATGGATTTTTTTAAATCCACATTCAGACGAGTCGAAGCTATGGCCGAAAGCTCAAGAAGCTTCTATTTGTTACTCGCGAATGAAATTTGCCCGACTTTGAGTTCCAGGCAACTTCCCGGATGCATCATTCTCGGACAATACACATATTCTCTGTTCGTTTCATTTCCTCTTTTTTTGTAAGATTGCTTCTGTAACGCGGAAGTATTTTTCGAACCGTACACTTAACGCGAAATCACGCGTAGAGGCAGAGTTTTTTCTACAGGGATAGTCGATGACGAGGCGTGTCGTAATAATTTAAGGAGAAACGAGAGTGGTCGAGTGCGCGTCGTCCTCGAGAATGGCGAACGTTTTGAACGTCGACGCGACAAGGGCACGCGAATCCTATAAAAGAAGTCATTTATAAAGAAACGTTATATTTACAAAAAGGGTATGTATGAAGTTGTTACGTGACGTTTTGTGAGAATTGTTGTAAATACCTGTCGGTACGAGTCATGCCAGATATAAGACTGTATATTTGAGGAGCATAGAAGTATAAGTCGTTACTAATAAATAAACTGAATAAATATATTGGGAGAGAAAGAGTTGGCTCGGTTACTTCCTCGATCCTGGACAATTCCTAATATTCTTTGAAAATTAAAATTGATTTTGACCATCGTTAATTTTGAACATTTAAAGTTACCAAGACTGATAAAATATTTTTGAATAACACATTGAACTCGATAGATGAAACGAATAAAATTATATCGAGACGGTAAATTCATTAAAAATTGATATTCGTGTGCGCCATATTTAAAAAATTATTTTGTTGTTGTGAGAGTGAATTTATCATTCGAGAAGAAGAAGTAAATTTCAAACCCAGATTCTAATTAGAGCTTTAAACTTTCCCTGGTCGTAAACAAGGGAACGAAAAGCGTCAAAGAAATATGCGTGGAAATTCTTAGTCCAAGAAGCAGGGAAGAAGTGACCCGTCCGCGTAATAAATCCGATCCCTGGTTATTATTCCTACCGCCCGCATACATTTAAATTTCACGGCGTCCGGGACGGTTCACGCGCAAAGAAACGTCGATATCGGTTCGTGGAAAAATCCATCGATCGCCGTCGCGAAAATCTCGCGTCTCTTTCCCGCGATAGCTTCGATATCTTGTGCTCGAGTGGACATTTCATTTCGTTAACACGATTACGCGTATTCGCGCGCTATGGATTGCGAACTCATTTTAATTGGGATTACGTTTCAATTAAAACTTCGTTCCCATTAAGCGGAAGCGTTGAGTTTTGGAGAATAATTGATAGGAACAACACGTTATCCGATTGCGAGGCTGGATAAAATATGCATATTTGCCAATCAAGAGGTGTCCAGGTTACACACCTGCTCTGTCTCCCCTCTCTGGGTAAATATAGGATTACCGGGCTCCTGCAGGATTACGTGTGTACACGTCTGGCACGCGAGACGTAACGGGCAAACACCGATACCTTTGAGTCGTTACCGATGAAATTTTAATGACGCACAAAATCGGAAACGCTATCGTAGCTAGCTGTCTCTCGGTTCCCTTCATTATTGCGGCTACCGGTGCCGTTTCCGTTTATAAATCGAAATCCATTCATAGCAGTTGCACTTTGTTTGCTCCTACAAGGATCGGCTACCTCGAGCTTTACGTAACGTTCCAACATTTATCGAGAATTTCTTTGATATCGAAACTAACTAACTCAAGCCCTATTTGACAATTTACTAAAGGCTTCAATCATGGTGAAATTGATATCTCTACATTCATGGAATCTATTCAGGGACAGTGGCACGTACGCGAGCGTTTAGCTTTGAAGTCATTATAGGATAGTTCTATCACGGAAATGACCACTGAAATTGTAACTAAATGTTCGAAATTACATTTGTCGATTATATAACGTGGCAAGATCGTTGGAAACGTAATAAATACAATTTAACAGTATAGCAAACGGGGGTGGAGAGGGAGTTACACGACATCGAAATACTTCTATTAGAATTTTCAGCAACAGGTAAATCGAAAAAAAATCACCGTGCGAGAAACGAAAGGAATTTTTATCGCATCGAATTAAATTTATATTTTATTATGTATACCGAATTAAAATATGCGTTAATAATTCGAAAACTATTGATTTAGAGTGCCACTATGAAGTACTGCTTTGAAAGCGTCAAACATGGGTGGCGTATAATCCCAGAAAAATGAATAAAAGCGTCGTAAGCGACTCGTTGTCGGGTAGTTTTTTTTTTATGATCGTACATTTGCATGGCAGAGTGTCGAACGCGTCCAAATCCGTTTCATTGAATTTTTTTTAACCGAATTCATGATCGCCGCGCTCGCTTTGAGAACGTCGCGCGACGAATTTCGGGCTCGCGCTGACGCGGCCCCAGCAAAGGACACAGAAGTTTAATAAATCCATTCAGCGCGTTTAATACGGGCACCATATGCACCCGTCGCTTATTGCCGACGCAACATATTCAGCAATTTGTCCGTTCGATGAGATATCCGGCTGGCAATTTATCCGTTTGGCAAAATGACAATTCGACAGTTTGTCCCGGCCCTCGATTGGACACCGTCCCATCGGAGTTTCCACTCTTTCATTCAATATTTTTTTTCACACCGTAATAATTTCATTTATCTTCCATTTTTTTTACCGTCCCGGTTCGCCAACTTACCACAAACCGCGCGCATTAATCTCTTGGGGACATTTCGGACGAGATTAACTGGACCGCGAATTCTCCGAAGCAGTGTTTAGAAAAATTCTCGAGAATCGATGCAATAAAGGAACATTTTTTAACAATTACCGCGAAATAAAGTAGAATTTTTGTGCTTCAATTTAATTGAAAACTCTGTTTTAAAAATGTTTTTATTCTAAATTGGCGTTCTCACTGAACAAAAGAGTTATGTTATATCTATAAACTGTTGATGAAATCATAAAAACAATTGTAAAAGCGTAAACGCGATGAATGATACTACTTCTCGGAAATTAAACGGGGTTAGTACTCGCACTAAACGCGAAAGTAGGTCAGTTTATTCTTTCGCTTCCACAGAACTTGAAAAATCAAGGATGCTAGAAGCGCGTGTTTTTGTTTCGCCGAAAACCACGTTCGTTTCTTTCCTTCGGTGAAAACCACATTGATGTAGAAGTACGTGGTATTATTTCGTCCTTTATAATATTGAGTTTAACCCCCGACGAAGGGAAGAAGATAGAGAAAATATTTATTTAAGGGTTGTAAAACCTGTTTTCCCTTGTTCGTAGACCAAAAAGTGATCGAGGAATTGAGGAAGCTATACACAGAATATCGAAATGTGCGTCGACGAACGTTAAATGTGCGATTCCAAGGCACGCTTCGCGAGTTCGACTTCATTAACTTCGTACAAGGGACGTAATTTTACCGGCGAAGTTCGGCAAGGATCAACTCGCTCGCGGAAAATTCAAAACGACCTCAACTTCGTCCGCGTTGCAAGTCAAGCTCCAACTTCGACTTCTATCTGGTTAAGCAGATAAAAGGGGAACGTACGAGACGGAAGGGAGGCAACGAGAAATCCAAGGGTCGGGACGTAATGGTAAATGGCGGCGGGAAGAAAAATAATAGCGAGTGACATGAAACGCCCGCGAAGAATGAAGAAGATATGAAAGAAAAGGGGGCCAAGACGAGAAGCAGAAAGCAGAGTCCAAGAGAAGACGGTCACAGAAGACTGTGCACGGAAATGAAGGTACGTAGGGTAATATGTACCTATCCCGTTATGGAAATGAGCGCGACCCAAGGCGTGCGTGTTTGTGGACGCTTGCACGCGCGCGCGCGCGAGAGCTAGAGACATCCATTGCATCTGTAATGCCGCTGCCATGCTCCCAACTCTTGCTTCTTGTCCTCATATTGCTTCCACCGACAATGCGTCTTCCGAATTCCGCGTTACACCTAAGAATCTTATCACGAAATCGGAATAATCGAACGAGACGTGCTGTTTCTTGCCGCGGGAATCCGTGATCCGAGATTCAGACGACGCGTCGCGACGCCTAGATTAGGAGAGAACCTAATGGCGTCTCTCTGTCGCGTGTAATTTATCGAGACTAAAATTTTGAATTCGTATTCTGGTGATTTACGCGGCTCGAGCTTGCACGAATCGATATTTTGAAGAACAATACACGTAGCCAAGATCAATTGTCTTTCCTTTACTGGAGGTCCGATAAAAAACCAATAACTGTCGGTTTCTATAAATCTACACACTCGGTAAATATTAGATAACATACGAGGTGTGATGATAAAGCTTCGAGAACGCATTACAAAATTTTTATTTTGAATATTTAACAGTTGCGACTGTACACACGCGTTTCAACATGGAATCTATTGATTGTAATATTTTTGGTGTATGGTTTAATATTTGTGTTATATTGCCTTGAATTTGAGAAACTGAAAATTCGGACCATATCTAAATTTACATTGTATATGCTTCTGTATAAATATTATTCTATTATCGTTTATCATGAACTGGGAATCGCGAACCTTCCTTTGCAATAAAATGTTCATTAAATGAAACATACATATTAATTCATGTACATATTTTACCGTTTGTCAATGTCCTATTTAATTTATTTCCAGATAGAATATAAAATGTAAGTGATTCGGATCTAATAAACCATAGAGCGAAATTGCAGAGGTAGCGAAGAAGAGATGTTTTATAAAACTGTTTCGAAATCAATCAACCATCGAGAATCTTGTCCGACATGGTCGTGTTTGTAAAGTATCAGTCAGAGAACAGAAAGAAGTAATAAATATGGCGAAGAAATGCTCAAAGTTAAATTCATCGGAAATTGCAGTTACGATAAAAACTGAATGTGACAAAGAAATCAGTTGGAGAACTGTGCCAAGAATATCGAGAGATGCTGGATACTCTGCTTGGCACGAAAGTAAGCCATACACAAATAAAACAAATATGATAAATCTTTTTCTGAAAGAAGAGGAAAGAATTCTAGAAAGAATTTCCAACGGGGGATTTCGAATTTGGGAAAAAGGTATTGTGCTTCGATGAAAAGAAATTTAATCAAATTTTTCAATTTTTATCCTCGTTATAATAATAGAATGGATTCGCGTTTCAGTTATTGAGCTGACAATTTTAACGAAGCAGTTAATTGGCTAACAGTGAGAGTAATATGGCGGTTAAATTGAAAAGAATCGATCGATGCATCAGTGTCGCGTTAAATTTACGACAAAGAAATACCGAGGGCAGAGATTTCGAAACTGATGAATAACTGAATAACAGATTTTTCGAGAATTTTTCGTCGAAATTATATGGATACAAAAGGACGCGATTTCCTCGTCACGAGAACTTGAATGGTTTGGGAGATTGACTGTTTGTAACAATGGTGCCGATTTTTCTGGTGACAAATCGAAGAAAATTACCGGGCCGGTACAGGATGCGCGTGTAGGTACGCATTGAAATTCCAGCAATCCTGTAAAAATTGGTTTTGGAGAGACGACCAGACCCTGGAACCCAGAACGCGATTGATCTGCATTGTAATGGGAAAATTTGAAAGTGCCGCGTACTTTGGTCTTCGTTCGAATTACCAAA